CGTTCCCTAATATGACCCCCACTATGAGACTCACGGAACATTCTTGCCCATCAAGGATTCCAAGGTAGCCTCTCACTAACGTTCTTTGCTCTGACAGTTACTGAGCCGATTCATCACTCCGAACTCACGTCGATCCTCTGTAAAAGCTTGAGTCGGAAGTCTTACTCAGCCAGTCCGGTTTAAGTGTCAACGCACTGGCAAAGAGTTTCTGAGTGCCGATAATTTGATCGTCTCCTAGAGTCTATCTTTACTACATACAACACGACGAATTCGGTACCCGACTACTGTCATTACGGAAGATGTGTCCCGACAATACACAGCACCTACACGGCAGTGTAGATTCGTGAAACGGTTAAATGGGCATTCTTCACTACCCCTGAGTTCTACCATAGTCTCAACGCGAATGTCAGTTAAGACCGATATCTCAACCCTACCATGAAAAATTTGACACTTAGGTTTTCCCCAAGCTGGTTTTCCTCTGTTTAAATCCGTACCTCTCATGTACAGAATTTTCATTCTCAAATTTTTAATTCTTACCAATCGGCATTCACGTGCCTAGTTGAACCGTGAGGAGAATATGGAATTCGGCCCGCTCACACGCCTGTGCCATTTTCTTGCCTCTTGCGAATGATTTGGACATTAGCCTAGGAAGCGTCAGCAAAGACGCTGGGTCGTCCGTCTGTATCTTCCACGCAACTAAGCTGTTCCTTATGATAAATGGTAGAAGTATGTATTGGACGGCTATTCGACTTTGGTATTTGGTGTTATATTTTAACAGTTTGCCTGTGTACTGAATTTATTATGAGACGAGCTGCCGAAATTCGCACTCACTCTAGCGGTATGCTATTAAATTTTGCGTGATCCTTTGGTTAATGTACACCTCAGATCCTTCACTACAAGTTCTTCGTGATACCCTTGTTTCTCAGCAATTCCTTTTAAAGAATCACACCGTGTTTGAAACATTTAGTGCCAGCCTAAACTTCTGCAGACCCCAGGGGAAGGATAATGGCACTAATTCAAGCTCAAATACAAGTGACATACTATTACAGCTTTTTCAGGTAGTAAAAGGATTGTTATCAAAAGAGCACATTACAGTGGCTCACTATGATGGATAACTACTTTAAAATAACGCCATTATTGGTTTGCCGCATGAGCCAACACAACGACTGATATGAGGGCTATCATAGGTATAAAGCTTGGTACAAAAAATCTGCCTCGCGGGATGAAAGAAATTCCATGGGTTTTCAGGATGTCCGGCAAGCTCGGTCGAAATCTGTTCTCAAATCTACTGGATAAAACGAATCTTGGGACCTGATCTGGTGTCAAGTTTACAACGTGAGCCAGCGTGGTTTATGCGGTCCATAATCGATTCTATCCGGTAGCGCCGATTTCGTGACTATTTTGAGTGTATCCTATGATATAAGATCTCAGGCACTACACCAGTGAAAAAATGGCACACCTCGGTGTCACAAACTCGTACACTTAATGCCATGGTCACATTCTACATTGCATTTGGCAAGTGATACCAATTCCATGATCCCACACACTGTACACTATTGCAGCAACAATATGATTTGATAAATGAAGTCAGTTTTGTCACTCTACCAGAATTTCCCGTTCATATGTTTGAATCGGAAGAACTCCACGACAAACACTGCTAGGAATAACCCCAACTGCATACTGGTTGAGTGAATAGATCTAAGTTACTTATTTTCTACGTATGTAACATTCCTTCTTGACCAGTCCACGGACTATTGCTGGGTCTGACCACTCACTGAGCCCACAAAATCATAAAATCATCGAGCCCAACTCATTCTATCCGTCACAGAAACCCGTTACAACGTAATTAATAAGGCACAACGACACGCTTTTTCTCCCAGATTTTCAGGCTTCTGGTATAAGGAAGAAGGAAACGGTTGCCGACAGTCAATGCAACCCCCGGGATATGCCAGGTCAACTTGCAACCAGCAATTGTCAGCTGTCATTTCTTTCATGCGATTCTTCGCTTTTCGGTGCACACATGCACGAAATAATTTCGCACACATTAAAAACCGGATCTTTCTGGCTACTTGCTACACTGCCTTGTACTCGGCACTTTGAATCACTCCTAAAGATAGTGCAGTAGGATTATGGGTGTATATACGCATACATGCATACACGTACATATATATATATATATATATATATATATATATATATATATATAGTCAAAGATACCAAGTGTACCTCAGGTAAGCATGTCGTTCACAACAATTGCTTCTTTTCACTATAAAAGCTCCAAAAAGCAAGCTTCACACAAACATTTTGGTTTGTCTGTATGTGCCCTTTCGGTTCAGGTGGGCGCACCTACCATTCCTTTCAATTTCTAACCCATAACATTTAGAAATTACCAGCATTACAGCTAAATAGCTGTGGTACTTCAAAGCAGATTACCTAACCGCAAGATTTATTTGTTTTGCGAAACGCCACCAAACCCCACAGCTGATAGTGGCGTCATTGTAAACCTGATTTGAACGGTGAAATTGTGAGATGCAGCATAGGTGTCATACAAAGAGCTTTTCCTTTAACCAACCTACTAATTTGCTTTTCGTTTCTGTTCATTTATTTTTAGCAACTTCCACATTTATGTGAATTTCATATCAACGACAAAGAATAGAGGAACGATGTAACTTGAAATTAGGCCATAGGGTTGTACTTTAAACTTACTAAATAAAGGGATTGTATGCAACTCAATGAAGGGATAAACTTACGGCGTTAGCTTAGAACAAGCTAATGATGTGGTCAACCCTTTACGTGGTTACTGTCAAGAACGAGCAACCGTGACTATCTATCCTGTATCTTTGACGTAGTGTTCTTAGTCATTAGCAACCCACTTGATAAAGCGCTCCAAACTACTTGTTAAACTAATTCTGTCATGTGCGTAGCTGGTTACAATCATGTTTTGAAGTCGCTGGGGATCTGGTAAATTGAATGCAGTCAGGAGGTAAAAGTGTTTGGGTTGGTAAGACAAAAATAAAAGCATTCCGTGAATTACAACTTTCCTTCTCTCCTCACTCTAGGGAAACGTAACTGCTGAGTTTTTCGATGAAACTTTCATAGAAGAGGATGGGTAGCAGCTATATCAGTAAATGAAAAATTGTTTGAAAGAAAAGGAAACGGATGAAACAAAACTTTTCAAATCTATCGAATTGTCCACACTGAGAGGCATATCCATTTATTGATAGTTCGACAGCGCTAGACTGCAGCTGAAGCCTTCATTTACAATTATGCTGTGATTTCTGATGTCGCTCTCAAGACCCCTTACTCAAGTACATACTTTCGCCTGTAATATTTCCCTTACGTTCACCATCTGATTTCGAGCTGATGTAGCCCAATCTCACTCTTCGATTTTACGACGCACCGGCATCACTCAGTGCGAACTTTATGTCAACAGAATTCCGTCTCATCCACTTTAATTTCCACATATATTGTGGAAAAGTGTGACGGAAAATGGCCCCGAATGTTTTCCAGGTTACTGCACTGTTGTGTATTGAGTTGTCACCGGCGCGGTACTGTTTTCTTGCGCATTACATAAAAGTCGTTACTTTGACAACTGCTTTTGAGTAGTAGTCCAAAACCAACTGTCGGTAATCCAGAAGAAAGGCGACTCTAAGATAGACTAACCAGCCATCATTTTGATTCCATTAAGGCGACGGTGCTTTGTCAGGCGTTTTTTAGTTTAACCAGATCTAACGACCGAATTTGTTTAATCGGTTTGAAAGGGTGTGTTTCAATATCAGGAACAAATTGTGCTTGATTAAAATCACACTACAACGGTTAAAATCACAGATACATTTGACAGTTAACTAACAAGCTTACTTTATGACACTGTGAAAGTACGTCACTTTGCGACTAATAATCGATGAGAACCTTGGTTCCTGGGTTTTAATTATTTGAACACCATTTGAAGCATTCTCATGACCACAAACCTTAAACATGCGACTAGCAGTTTAAACCGACACACATAGGAGACGATCAATGACACATTACATTGTGTAAATTACTTTTCTAGTCAGTAAATGCAGGAAATTTAACTAAAGTGATACACACCTGCTTGTGGACTACTTAGGCTGATTCGTATTTCGGATGAGATATAGTAAACTACTTTTTAGCAAAAAAATAGTACACACAATTACTATCAGATTAAACCTTGTATTGATGCCCTCCATTCTGCTGTGAGTTTACTCAAAAGGTCGTAGGGCCTAATAAAATCCTGAGGACAACAGACTGCTTGAGAGAATAGTCGAATAATACTCTGAAAACACCCAAAATCCTGTGTGGCCAGCATTTGGGTTCACTGTTGTCAGCCTCGATGAAGGGGCAAGGGACAATATTTCCAGGACAAAACTGGATAAATGCTTCACAGGATTGTCTCAATATGGATAACTAGTGAGTGCATCATCATCACCATCATCGTCAAATTGACATCAGTGTTCAACACCGATGCTTCACTGCCATACAGCCATGATTTATTTGAAAGCCTTATTGTAAAGAAAAGAATGCAGTTGGAGGGGGACCGGGTTAGTTCTAGTTTACCACAATTATTCTGAGATGTCTTCACCTCCAGACATTCACTCAGGCAATCTGGATAGAAACTGACAACAAGAACGCCAATCACATCGGGTGACAGCCCTATATTACAGTGTCTCCAACCAGGTGCAGTGGAGATCACGCGGTCCTCATCCTGGACAGCGAGAAGCACCGACAGCACCCAGGCATTTCGTGATCTCCTTCATACTCCTCTGCCAGGTCATGGGTTGGCCACCTCTCTGTTTACGTCACTCTGAGTTGGACATGGAACACAGCACCCTCTTCGGAAAACGATGGTTCGGCATACGCAGCACATGTCCCAACCAACGCAGCTTCTGGTGCTGGACACATTCTTCAATGGAAGTACCTGTTACACAACCGAAAACGCGCTTTCTAACTGCCTCATTACGGATTCGCCGACACCAACTCACACGAGCTATGGTTCTGAGACAACGATTGTCGAAAACCTGAAGACTTCTCAGTTCCGCTGCTCGAATAGGCCAAGGCGCACAGCCATACAGTGAAGCAGCCTGCATTGTAGCTTGATGCACACGTCCCTTGTGATTTAGGGATACATCACTCTGACGCCATATGTGTCTCATATTGGCGCACGCGGCCCGAGCCTTGCAGATTCGTGCAGTCACCTCATCTGTCACACTACAATCAGAACCATTACAACTTCCAAGATACGTAAAATGCTCCACAACTTCCAGTACATCTCCCTGGATTGTAAGTGGCGTGTTCACACGTCCACAAGCATGACGCTACACTTTGTGCGTGCAAAGTGCATACCAAAGGACGGGGTGACTTTAGTCGGTTCAACCAAAAACGCCTTCACGTTCTCCTCCTCTTCGAAGATGAGAACTATGTCGTCTGCATATTCCAGATCGACAAGGAGACCTTCCAACTTTCGTCTCGTGATTTCATCGACCAAGAGGTTGAACAGGAATGGGGAGAGTGGGCATCCCTGACGAACACTGCTTTGTGTACGTAAACTTTTGGAGAGCTCTCCGTACACTCCCGGTGGTTACAAGCTAATATCAATAAAGGTCTCAAGGGGAGATTTTATACTGGTGCCTTTGCAATGACAGCTAGTCTCCCATTTATTTTGACACGTCATAGCAATGCGTTTTTCCGACATTCTGTAGAGGTCGTTTGTGTTAGTGTGTAATATGCATTATATCAATTAGATTTTGTTCATTCTAATCCGCATGGATATCAGAAATTATCTAGATTATTTCAGTTTCATGCACTTTGGCTCCCTTGAGTTCCGAAATCCTGTGATAAGAGGGTGAAAGTAAATTTTCGATGCTCAGTTTAATTCAATCACACGAGCTGTTACTTATTGATTTTCGGTTCTGAAGAGTCACAAGGTGTATGCTATTGCTAAGAATCAGGCTGGTCAGTCCTACCATTGTCGCTAGCTCAACACAAAGGAATGATGTAATGGGAAGACAGCATCACCAGCAGACGTAAGTATGATCAGTATAATGAATAGAGGAAGCATCCAGGTTGGAGTGAGGAAGAGAAAGTAAAACAAGCTATGGTTGTTCGATACTCGGAGTTTGTCGTTAGAGGCAGATCTCTAAATTCCATTCGGATGGTAGACGTTGCGGTAGGCTGAGCTGTAACACCTTGCGATGCTGACTAATTTCAACCCCAATGCGCACTTGTGAGGTCTAGTCTAGTTGGGTTCAGTACGAACCAATGTGAAACCTTAACTTTTGCCAAAACGTTTCGTGGAACTCTGGGAACACCAAAGCTATATCCTGTCTAAGTGCGAGTTAATCAAACTGCTGATCAGCCACTAGTACCCAAACGGTTAACCCGGAGTTGGTCAGTCAGCCAGGAAGTCACGAGTTCGAGAATCTTTGGAGTTTTGTGAGATGCGCACTGCTGATGATTCCCAAGAGGGATGAAACAGCCGTACAGTGCTTCTCGGCTTTTCAGCATAGATTGGTTTCACTTACAGGACTAAATCTCCCAAAAAAACAACTCCCCTCACACTACCAGCAAACCTAAAGCTTTTTGGCTACCCCTTACGGCAGATGCCAGTCTGGAAAGTAGTATTTCAGGGCCGATATAGACACACTTTCTCCACTCTTTGATGAGGGGGAGGATGCTGAAAGTTTGGTGAGTGGACTTTGCTCAGCTAAGCGATTCATCTATCAGTGTGCCACGCTACTAGGATAAAATGTGCATACGTCGCGCATCCACAGTCCTAATCACATGCTTCCGAAATCCAGTCATTATATCAACCCGCAATCTGACCTGTCAAAATATGGTAAAATTTCAGAGCGTCTGAGTTAAATCCGACTACGGCTAGTTAGTTCGGCTTATCTAAGTTGAAAAAGCAGAAGCAGTTCTCTACGGAGACAGGCATATAATCAGAGGATGTATAGAGTGGGTAGAAGTTGGGTGCTGTCGGTGATGCTCATCTTCCGGGATGGCGTCTGCGTGCTTCCCACAGTGTCTGGTTGGAGATCCTGCGAGTTATGGCTGCTAATCGATGTCAGTGGCATTCTTTTTGTCAGTTTCTCTATGGAATGTCTGATTAAGCGTCTGGAAGTGTGGGCACTTCGGAGTGATTTGTAGGCTGGCAATCCACTGTTATTCCACTATTATTCTTTTATTCACAATAAAGCTTTCGACCCAATTATTGCTGTTAAACAGCGAAGCAACATTTATCTGAACACTGATGTTATGCTTTCGACGATGATATAGCTTGAAGTAATAATTTCCAACCCGCCTATTAATTCAGTCTGTATATAAAGAGGAGCCAAATACTTCTGCTGATTGTACGGCTGATGGACGAACGCAAGACTACTGGTTCAACTTACAAGGCCACCTGAATCAATATGTATGTTTTTTCACCAATTATAATTTGCTTTAAAGCTCCATCCAGAAAATCGGACGCGCACATTCAGCTAGTTACTATGTAGTAGAGTATTTGCGGTGAGCTTGGCATTGTGCCGAAGTTTGAAAGGTAGCCGCCAGACATCTAGGTCATTCGTGGGAGGAGGTTTGCTAGACATCGTATCTGATTGTGTACCATAAAGCTATTTCGGTGGTTCCGACCAAATGTGGCATTTGAGCTACCGAAAATCGGAGTTTCAGGACTGGTAAGGCCAGTGATCGAATCCTGTATTTTTTGTTAATAATGGTTTAAAGGTGTGAGGTAGTGCTCTGATGACCACTGTGTCCATTAACTCAACATAGGTATTCATACTAACCGAAGCAGACTTTAAATGGTCCGCTGTTTTGCTTTTCAGTTTAATTTTTAAACTCTGTGGCTCCGGTAAGTTGGGTGACGGGATACAGCTCAAGTGCCATATGTGCCGAACTAGTATACGCATTTGTGATGCCAGTTAGAGAGGGACTCGATCCTAATGACAACAGATATCAAAAGTAACGCAGCCACGGCTGGATAGCTAGAACCTGTTTATCTTTTCAAGAGGTGATGTGTAACGAAAAGCAACTAACCTCTCTATTCCTCCCCATACCCCTCTCCATACCATCGATTTGGCAAGTAGCAAACATGGGTCACTAGTAGCGTTGAAAATGCGGGTGTAAACTGGGGGATATTTCTGTATAGATGACGACATCGTCGACGAAGAACGGTAACAGTTTTTAAAGCTAGCCTGTTTAGAGTGAGCATCTGGGTGTGTGCTGATTCGCTTGCTTGTGATTTTGAACTCTCGTTTACACATATTCTGTCGGGACACCTTAGCACATTGCTTTTTGTAGGTATTTAGAAACAACCAGCCTTACACCACTAGTTTTCCACTCATTTTTTGTTTCAACTCTTATTTCCGACACAGATGAACCACGAACGATGAAAATTCGCGTTGTATGTCTTGGTTAGTTTACAACAAGTGGGCATTGTCTTCGCGAATTTGTTAAGTTGAAAAAAGGGATTAGAAAGTTGAAGCTATTCGTTAAGCAATAAGTCGCCCTTTTTGCCTCAACATAGTTTGAGCTAGTTTCGTATTATTTTTCATGAAAGATTTTGAAGTACATTTTTCATGCGCTAAGCGTCTTGAGCAGTGCACATACTTTCACCATTCGTTTTTACGAATTTGGATTTCATCAGTTTGAATCTTGTCACTACATGAGATCCTTGTGAGGCACGCGCCGATCGCGATTGCCGTTTTTACCGCCAAATAACGTCTTATTCTACCACTAGAGTTCAGATTCTTCGGTTGTTTCACACTGAGAAGTACAAGTTAATCAATCACAGCGCCGAAAAATGGATGCGACATGGATGATCAAATTTCTCTTCTCTGCTTGTGAATCACGGAATTCTTCGGAAGGTGACTCATAGGGTTTAAGGCTTTCATACTTCGCGCATTCCCCCCGTCAGTGAAACAGACCTCTGTGTCTGATTCCACTTAAAACCCTGGTTTGGAATGTTCTACAACTGCGTGTGCTGACCGGAGGCTACCCCATGTCTCGCTTGAAACGAAGTCGAACCCATGAGGTCGATGAAAATCCTGGATAACCCGCCAGAGTTTCCTCCTGTCCTGAGAACATGTGGTGGTTTTGAAAAATCTGTGGCTGCAGCAAAGTCCATTTGCTACGTAGAACAATCTATTAAGGAGGGGTTCCATCCCAATTTTAGATTAACTATCTAGAGCGTCCTACGAAACAGACGTAGTTGTGTAATTTTGCATTTGTCTACAAGATCTGTGAAAACTAGTTTGGGGTATCAGCCTAGGTGGGTCGTTCACCAAACGGTAAACGAACTCACGTGTGCATCACTGACAGAAATGATGCGTCAGGTGACAGGTCTATCCTTATGAGCGAGATGAATAAACAAGAAGTGAAATCAATTGAACGGAAGACAACTTATGATAAACCAATGGTAAATATCACAAAAGTAAAAGAAAGTGTAGAAAGATTGGGAAAAATGTAAGCAAAAATGTAGGAGAGGCGTGCAATATACCTAGAAAACCAACCCATACATCTGGCAATGTCTTGCTGTAGGCAACTGGGGACTTACACTTTTAAGAAAACAGTCAGGCAAAACCTATGTTTCTTCCTTATTTCCTGCTCACACACCATGAGGGACCCGTAGCAAAGAACAAATTAAGATGCCAGAACAAACGTGAGGATCGAAACTTCAAAGTGGACGCTAAGAATTTGCTGACTTCTTGCAGTCCTTAATTATAGTGCAATACTCCGAGGCTCAAGCAGAATTTGTCTGACTCAATGGATATTCGAAGCATGCTGTACCGGATAGCTACATCTTTCAGTTGTAACACACGCATCAATGCCTACACGTGAAATGTCAGCTTGTGTTAGTTGGAGGTTCTTGTGAACATAAAATTTTGCCAGTTCACTAAAATTCTGATTATGGCTTGAAATTAATCTCGGAGAAGGAAGTACGACTAGTTCCTTCATCCGTATTTTATGATGAACGTTTTGTTCTGGGCCTTCAAACATTTGTACATTGATTACCAATAAGGAAGCCTATATAGAAAATGAATCCGGGTCACCGAAAAAAGAATCTACAGTTTCATCTCCTAGGCCACCTGGGGCGCGTACATATGTCTAGTCACAAGTCGTCGGGATGTTTGAAATAAGCACCCTGTAAAACGACACAACGGTTACAACTACCTATGGTCTCCCAGCAACACTTCCTCTAAAAGCCTTCA